ATGGATTTTTCAATGTCTGAGCTGGTAATTATGATTCATTTCCTAAATTCTCCAAACACATTAAGAACAACTACATTAATCTGTTCAAAGACAAGTGTGGAGCATGTGATTTTACAGGTGCTATAGGTACAGACACACATATTTCACCAGGCAGCACATATTTTAGACATAGAATCAGCAACTCCACACACACCTCCATCAAACCGGTACTCATTGGGCTCATTACTATGTTTTTCCCCTGCACCTAACACATATAATTGCTGCTGTAGTTGCGCAGTGGTCTCTCGGCTCCAGTGCAGAATGGGGTCAGCCAAGCAATTCCCCACCAAACAATGGAAAATGTTCTTTCTGCTACTGCTTCCTCCATTGCTGGCTGGTGAATTTTGGCAGACGGTGTAGCAGCACAAGCCAAAGAAGACAAGCTGGAGAGGAGTGGCATTTTATCTCTGAAGTAGGATTAAAACCAACCATTTTTAAAGATCTCCTGGCTGTGAGATTTTCTTTACATATGTTATTCATTTGGGATTCTCTTGATCGAAAGAAGTTATTATTTTTAGTTATAATAAGATAATCCAGACACTTTGCCTTCCAAAGACTCACATAGCTCCAGTTGTGTCTCCTCCTCTCATCTGCTCCCAGTTAGCAACATCTTGAATGCTGTACTGCAGCATGCTCCCATGTCATAAAACACACTGCTTCTCTTCTCACCATATCCTTCTCTTTCTTCCCTGTTTCTCTTGCTTTCCACCCCTCTACTTTTGTCTGGCACTTTGGTTGGAAGATGTTTTTCTCACTTTCCCCCCTCTAAACCACAGAAAAAGCAGCACGTGTCCAGCTGCATCTTGGTCCGGACCCACAGTTGTTAAATACTTTGAAAAATAAATGTCTCCTGAATGGCATCATTCCCGTCTGCGTCCCGTCTCTTTTTATGTCTGCTCGTGAAAGTGTGAAATATCTGAGCTGAGAACTTCACCACCTTAAGGTCTTCACCACCTTACCCTGCAAAGCGTGGATTTTGTGGTGGTCACATTGCCCCCCCCTCCCTTCCATTTGTAGCTCTTGCTGAGCAATGGTGCAGGGCGAGCCTGGGTTGCCTTTAATCAGAGAGATGTATGGAGGGAGAGCACGGGCCTAATGGCAATTAACGCTTGTTCATCTACAAGCT